GCCCGCGGGTTCTGCTGCCCGGGCCGCGACCCGGCCTGCCTCAGCCTCGGCTGGCGGCCCGACGGCTCCCACGGGCCCTGCTACTGCGACCAGGCGTGCGCCCGCACCCTCGACTGCTGCCACGACTACGCCGAGGCCTGCCCAGGTGAGTGGCCGGCGGGGCTGCGGCCGCTCCCGCCTCCGGCTGTCCCCGCCGGCCCCCGAGCCCACCGGCCCCTGCCTGCCCTGGGGGCTCCGGCTGGCTGCCGGGCTCCGCTTGGCTCCTGGGGAAAGCGAGAGGGGGCAGGCAGGGGTGCGGGTGGCCGAAGGAGGGATGCTGCGGACACTTGGCTCCCACCTCGGCTGCGGTTCTCGGAGGTGCTGGGGTTCCCCTGGAGCGGGTAGCTGGCAGGGCACGTCAGGATGGGATGCGGCGTGTTTGTGCGGGACAGAAACGTGAAATGGGACGCTTCCTGACTGGGTCAGGGTCCCCCAGTCCCTTTCCCTCTTGCGGATTGAACTGTTACGGATGGGATCAAATCTGCTGCTCCCGTTAGGCTGTGCTTCCCTGCAAAAAGGCACGGACGGCTGCAGCACCTGCCTGCAGCTCCGGCGTTTGGTCTGGCGAGAGCCTCGACCGCAGTGCCCGTGCAGCTGCGTGCCGGGGTCCCCGGGCAGCGCTGCCTTCCCGGGGGGCACAGCAGCCTTCCCTCCATGAATGTCTTGCGCTAAAGTGCGGACATGAATTAAGGGGATAAGTTATTTTACTGAGTGGTGCAATCTCATATTCCCTTCCTATGAACAGCATCCTCAAGGAGCCGTACCCGCTCACATAATGCCTTTTTATTTTTTTAAACCTGCATAGCCGTGCCTTAGCGGAGTTTTGCTCTAGGCAGATGGGCAGACATTCCCGTGATTTAATTGCCTTTTTCCTTTCAAGAGAGAGCTGGAAAATGGGTGGGAAATAAGTTCGTTCCAAAGTGATTTAAACAAGCTACGTCTGTGAATGCGGACAGGCTGGCGGGTCTGCAGACCAACAACTCCCAGGTGCGGCAGAGACCAGCGAGCAGAAAAATGCTGCCCGCAGGATCCCATAACCTGCCTCACCCCTGCCCTGAGGCAGGGCACCCCAGGTCTGCAGGGAGGGCGCAGCTTGGCTCTCTCTCCTGCTGTTGGGGCTGTCAGGGAAGGGGCATGTCGGTGCTGGATGCCCCAATGCCGTTGATGTCTGAACACGGCTGGGCTGTTCAGTCCTCCTTCAGTACTGCTGCGTCTGAATCCTGCTGCTCCCCGCAGTCATCAGGGTTAACTGGGATAGACAGGAACCCCTCGTGTCTGTTCTTCATATTACCGAAGAGTAATAAGAAAAATGTATTTGCAGGCCCTTGTTACTCATTGTGAGGGAATAGTAAAGGGCGGTTGCTGCTCCTTTTCTGTGCTGGGCACCTTTGCAGCAGTACCGGTGTCACAGCTGCAGCCCCTTGCTGCCAGCCCGGTGCCATCCTGTGGCTCACCGGAGGAATAACAGCATCCTGCTTACGGAGATCAGGCGAGAAAGCGGATTTTGTGCAGGGTGAGGTATTTCTGCATTATTTCTTGTGATTCATTTGTGCTGCATGTAAGGGACCCAGTTCTACTTTGACTTGTATTGCATTTGTAGCCTGGCCTTTTTTCAGGAGTTTTCTTTCTCCTACCACTAAAGAGCTTCTTTATCAAACTGACTTGTAAAGCAAAATATTAAGGCAAAGGCATTAATATCTGACACCAAACAAAACTGAAGAGAGCAGAATATTCCAAATAAATCAGATGCACAAAAGGATTATAACGTTGGCTAGCCTACAATCCAGTGCACAGGCTTTTTTTGTGGTGCATTGGTGCATATATGGAATTTCTCAATTACTTAGATAATTGATTTAATTCCTAATCTTTGAATAGGTTTAAAAAGCTGTTTGTGGTGACTTTAGACAAAGAAGAAAAGCAATAGCATTTGAAAGATCTTCCTAAAGTTCCTGAAGACAAGGGCAGTTTCAAATGAGGTAATGCAGTAATTAGGGGTTATCCGTGTTCCCTGGGAGAATAAATTGAAGTATCAAGCTTGGGCTGCTCAGAAAGGCTGGGATTCACAACAGCATCGAGCAGCTTATGTCCCAATGAAATCAGTGGGGCTCAGGCTTTTGAATACCTTTGTAAGTTGGAGTGCAAATGTCTGTTACTGTAAGGTGCTGAGCATAGTGACTCTTAATCGATTTGAATGGGCTCATCCACATCTTTAAATTGAGTGATAGGTTGGTAGTGGAGCTGGACTCAGAACCAAGGAATTCCTTGTGCGTGAGGTCAGCATCATGGGTCAGTGTTTCTGTCCTTGGGTAGTTTGCCTCTCGAGTACTCATAGGAACTTTGGTGGAAGATATCTCGTAAGGGCAGCCCTTCTCTTAGTGCATGGAAGGTGGAGTGTGCTGGCCTTTAGCTGGTCACTGGGTGTGTGAGGCACTCAATGGCCAAACCAGCAAAGTAGGAAACCTGATGAGACACCTGTTCACTGGTGTGACTGAAGTTTGATGTCCTTAGAAGTGCTTGTGTGGTGTACTGTCATATACTGGCCCAGCTCAGTCACAAGGTACAGAAATGCAAGGAGAGGGACTGTAGCCAGCTAAGAAAATTTTTTTGGGAAAAAAAAAAAAATTAGTCTAGGCTGACCTGCAAGTGTTTTTCTCCAAAGGTATTGTTCTTGATGGTTAGGTTGTGTTGGTTAAGTAGAACTGACAAAGTATATCATGGGCTATGGTTCTAGGTTGCCTTTGAGAGAGACCAGGAGGTGAATGCTCTTGTGCTTGAGTGATTCCTGTGTTATTCTTGATAGTTCTCTCCAAAGATTCAATCCTATGAAACCCAATTATGGGCATGGGGAAGAGATCACAAAAGGGGATATGTGACACAGGGAGTGGTACCAGTGTGTTTCAGACCGAATGAATGGGATGTTGAATGCTGAAAGAAGACATTTCTTTAGCTGCATGGAGGCCAAAACTTGAGTTTAGCACTGTGAATACTGTGTGAGAACAAGTAGGGATGCTCAATGATGTGAAGATTTTTGAAGCGTTACTTAGTGCAAGTTCCCAAAATTTAAAGTCATGAGTCACACCCTCAGAATATTTTGGGATTGGTTCCAACATGTACAAAGTAGAAGCCATTGTATTTCATTGTGATTCTTGAACTCAACTCCAGCTTGCCATGTGATGGTCCAAACTCCATGGCTGGTCATCATTTGCTGTGTGGTTTCTCACAAGAGATATCAGTAAGATTTCAGGCCTTATCTGCATGAAGGCTCTACACCCTCCATTTCCTCCTGCTCTTTATTCTGCTCTTCCCCTTGCACTCAACTTGACCTTGTCTAATTTTAAAACTTTTCTCAGTTATCCAGTGCAGGTCCCAGTTTGAGGGGGAGGCTTGCAGTGGTGTAGGAAAGGGAGGTGACTAGCCCCACATAGGCTAGCCTGGACGACTGGAGCTTCTGGGCAGGTAATTTCCTGGGAGCAGAGCTAGTGGGAACTGCCCGACACAACTGTGGGACAGGTGTGAAATAAGGAAGGTTGTACTGAGTGATGTCAAGAAGCGTCGTCTTTTCTGGAGAAGGCACATCACTGGCATCATTTCTGTAACCTTCCACATCCCTGTTTGTTACTCTTCCTCCAGTTATCCCCTGTGTCGTATCTCAGTGGAGTGTCTGGAGTGGCTGCGCAGAGCCTTGCAAGACAACGTATCGTGTTCGGAGGAGGCACGTCATCCAGGAGCCCAGGAATGGAGGAGAGGCATGCCCTCCTCTTGAGGAGAGGGCTGGCTGCGTGGAGTACTGGACTCAGCAAGGAACAGAGTGCAAACAGTCCCTGAGTAAGTCCACTGAAAATGTAAGTGTCTGGGTAATCGGAGGGAGGACTCTTGCTTGGGTCAGCAGAGCTGATCTGTCTTTACTGTGTTTGCAAAGGGTTGTTTTCAGACACCAGCATGTTTGCTCTGGGCCTGTCTGGTGTAACTGAGAACTGAGCTCTTCACACAGGGCCTTAGAGATATCCTTCCCGGGACAGTATTTGAAAGTAGTGCCTGCTGTTTGCTGTGATCTGCTGTGTTTCAAAAGTTAAATATTACAGGCCTGTTGTGATCTTGCTTATACAAGTGTAAATCTCTGGTGGTTTTGTTAGAGTTGGTAGATTTATGCCTGTTTAAAACTTCTGTAAGTGGGTGTTGAGCACTTTTTTCTTCTTTTTTATATTTTTTTTTTTTAATTTTATGAGTCATCTGCAAAAAATCATGAAGGAGCAACACTCGTCAAAGGCAAGTTATGAATTCTTTGCACTGGAGCAGAGTGCAGGCAGAGATCTCCAGCCAGTTTCTGGAGAAAACACCTGATTTCAGTTTATTCAAATCAACTTTTCCTGACATACCTTTACTGATTTTTAGAAGAATGGCTTGTCATTTTTGCTGGTATTTTGGTGTCAAAATTTGTCCAGTCTGGATGTTGGCTGCAACCGACTCCTTCAAACTTCTGGGGAGTTAGTATTAAGTGAATATTGCCTCCCCGCTGTCTTTTGGGTGTGCCTGATAAGTAGGCTTACTCTGCTCAGGCAAAAATCTGGCAACAATACAGATTCTCTTTTCAGTGAAATGGTTGATGGTCACGGATAATATGAAAATACAAAGTTTGAACTGTTTTTGTCTCCTGCTGAAGATAAACCCATATGATATTAAAGGCCTATCGTACTGTTTTGCAGATGTAAACAGCCTTAGTGCAGTATTGCCACTTACACTATGTACTCTTTCTCTTTGATATACACAGTCCCAGCATTAATAACAACAGGAGGGTTTGGAAAAGCGAGGAAAAAAAGAGCTGCAGCTGACAGCAATGAAAGAGCAGGGTAAGTTGGAGGCTGAGCACAGGGTCTCAGTCATAGTCCACCTTCAGTGTCTGTCTGGTTGCAGTTTTGGGCCCAGCTTTTTGCTGATCAGATTTGGTGTTTTCCAGCAGAAGGGTGGCACTTCACTAGCAGGGTGCTGCTCTCCCCTCAGCGACAGCAGTATCTGCTGTGCATCTGAAGGTTGTGGGTCTGCCTTGATGCAAGGCCAGTACAAGACTGAAATTCAGCTCTTTGTTCATGACATTGCTGCTGTTTAAGGTTGTGTGATCAAAAAGCCAAAGACCATTCACTTCAGCTCTTCCCAATGCGGAATCTGGTGCAGTTTGCACTTTTTTACTTAAACGGGATAAATTCTCAGGGGGCAGAGTTTGCTATCTTGTTGCATGGGAAGCACATGTCTCTCCCATTTCAGCGCCCCTTGGCTGTAACACTGCCTGTTTTCACTGTAGCACTGTTCCACAGCACAGGTACAGGCAGGGCTGTGTGGAAAGCTCTGTTGCATTTTACCTTTTGAGACACACTCTGTGTGTGCTGCTCTGCCTCTGGGCTGGTGCCTCAAACACAGGGGAGCTGGCATCAGCCTTCCCAGTCCTCTTCTTCCCCAGTTGGGGTCATTGCTACCAGCGACGCAGTGCTGATGGGAAAGGTTATCTTCCACCCTGTAAACCCTTGTACACAGCTTCACAAGATAGTTATTCGCCAGGGATTCTTAGTGTAGTCCCTGGTGGTTTGCCTGTTTCTTGTCGAGTGCTGCCATTCCTGTAAACACTGTGTGGAGTTTCCCAGAGCTGCTCTTGCAGTGTGAAGCAGCCATGCACTTGTTGATTTATTTCCCCACATGCTGTTGTACATGTAAGTATTCCCATAGTGCGTCGGTGCATCCGTCTCCCTCACTTAAGTGTCTGAAGGAAAGAGCATCTGTTCACCCTGAGTCTCCCTTTGACTCCTCATTAGTTGAGTCTTCCTGTAAAATTAAAAAAATGTGAGCATGGGTCTATTGCACACACATTTATCCTTACTGTCTTTCCCTCAGATAAGACAAGGAAGCAAACTGCTCACGTGGTTCAGTGTGCTACTTGAAGGTGTTTGGAAATCCCCGTGATGACTGATGCAGAACCAGACTAGACTAGAACCCAGTTCTCTTCTGTGTTTATAGACAATTACTAAACTTCCTTGGTTTTCCCCTCCAAACAAGGCCAGTTCTTTTGGGCTTTCCTCTCAGGTTTGGTTAAAATCAGAAGCACAGAAAAGTCTGGGCAGGGCAGACGTGCTGTGTCAATCTGGTACTCCTCCCACTGAGATTTGACAAGCTCACTCTGTCTCTTAGAAGGGAGATCATCACAGGGAAAACCTCTACAGACCGAATCTTAGCTCCTGTCGCAAGTTGCTCTACAAAACCCTTTATAAGTAACTGAGAGTAGATGATAGAGAAAGTGTGGTTCAGCAAGTGGATACCAGGCTTGGAATTGGAATCAGAAGACCTGTCCGTTGGGGTTTTTTGGCTTTAGTCAAATGCTTGACCAGTATGTGTCTCTATCTGTAAAAACAGGTGCCAGTAATACCTGATATTTTTCGATATGTCAGTTGAAAACAGCAGCAAAGGAGTTTTATTCCCCATTTAACCTTGTCAAATGTAGGTACATCATATGTTCTGGTTTTTATGGCCTTAGGTGTGGAGGTTTTTTGTTTGTTTGTTGTTTTTCTTAATTAGTGGTCTGTGGTCACCCAGTTTAGTCTGGCTCTTCCAGTCCCGTGGAGGGCTCTAATCTGGTTATTGAACTAACCTGTTGGGTTATTTTGGTTGCAGGTACTGTGTTGAATTCCAGCTTGTGGCCATCACGCCGGGCTGCTTGCAGAGCCACCACTCGTACACTCACTGGATGCAGTATCTCAGGGAGGGCCACACTGTCTGCGTGGAGTGTCAGCACCCGGCTTTAGACTCCAGAAGTCTACATTGTTATGGGGATGGCAGTGGAAGCAAAAAGTAAGAGTTTTAGGTTTTGTTTTCGTGTTGAATTTTTCATTCTTCTCCCTTGATCTGCTTGTCGCAGTTTCATAATGTGCTGCACACAGCCCTCTGGAGCACTCTACATATATTAACTGGTCTTTGTTGCACATCATGAGTTTCTTGCAGAGATGAAATGACCTGGTGAAGCTTACATATTAAACCAGTGGCAGAGCCAGGACTGAAGTGTGGGAGCACCTGCACTTAGTCTGCTAAGTCTCCCTGACTTTTAAGTGGCACAGTTGTGGAGGTTTTTTGTTTTATAGACACTCCAGCCATGCTTCTGAGGTTAACAGTTCTGTCAGATGTCAAATAAAATAAAATCTTTTTCTGATTTTTAAGCACTGGGTTTGTTTCTACAAGTGACCCTTTATGAGTATTTCTGGCAAGTGGCAGCTGGCTTAGGGACTTGGGGTATGTGCTGGCACCTGAGGCTGGATGGAAGTACTGTTAAATCTTTGCACTTCCAGCATCACTTCCCTGGAAAGCTGAAGAAGCTGTGGGATGGTTGATGGTGACCACCCAGGTTGTACAAATTGGGCAGACTCCAGCAAAGGTGAAGGGAATGGCTTGAAGCTGTGAAACGCATCCGTGGCAGAGCCAGCAACGGAGGAGTCCTGGCTTCCGAGCCTCTGCTGTTGTCACTGAAGGTGCAGCTTCTGCACTGCTTTTATCCTGATACTCTTAACCCCGTTGTTAGTTTGTTAAAGTCATCCTCTGAAACTCGTTAACAGCCCTGCCTGAGAAAAATCACTGCCCATCAGTGCCGTGCAGGGGTATTTTTGAAACTTATATAAATGTTGAAATAAGCACGTTCATTTGAATGAGAAACTCTAAACTAGGATTGTCAGGCCTCAAGCACACAATGTATTGCACTACGAAGACTGCCAATAATGGCAGGGGTTTTAGGCAGGGTTTTTCTCGGGCTTTTAGTAAGAGGAAGTCATGTTAGAGTCTTTTCCTTCCCTGCTTCAGCTTGTTATGTACAAAGGTTCCGAGAGCTTTTAGATAAAGAATCAAAAAATCTTAACTGGTGTGGCCAGAAGTAGCTCTTACTTGCATTCAACATGTAAATGATTATAAAAGCTTACAGTAATGTTATTTTACTAAAACCCTGGAGCCAGACAGGAACATCAGATTAAGCGAAATAAAAAACATATTCAGGAATTCATTTCCTCATTAGGCTGCAAAAAGGAGGGGGCATTTTCCTTCACCTGATCTGGTGAACAACACTGTATGTGGAATGGAAGCACAAAGAAAATGGGACTGTGTCCTTTAGGAATGATGATCTGATTGTCGGGTGTTGGCAAGCTGAAGGCTGGAAAGCAGTAGTGATAGTGGAGTTGGGGTGAACAGTGACTGGTTTGCTGAAGTCAGGACTCAGCCCATGTCTCAGCAGATGGTTTGAATCCATCCCAATTGAGCAGAGCCTAGAAATTGTTCCCAGAGTCTTCTTGGAGGTCTGTAAGATGAACTAGTGGGTCCGTTTCATTATAGGCATGTGAGAGCTAGCAGGGAAGCCAACTTTTAACACAGTAAGCTTTTACCCCTCCAGCATTACTGCCTATAATGTCAAATGAAGTCATGTCTGTGGCATTTTCTAGGCAGGTGTGAGCTCTCTGTATGTATGCCAAGCAGCCGTACTGTGCGTGTTCACTTGGGTTCATTGCCAGGGTAGTAACATAGGCTTGGAGGACAGTCAGGGCTGGCCTGAGCAGTGGACAAAGCTCCTGTCTACAAAAGGTGATGGAGATGCACTTTAAGCCTCCCTGAGCCAGCAGTGCTGGGCAGCTTTGTCAGAGATGGATGTGTGACTGGCAGGTTGAACATGAATGATGTCTCTGGTCTGCAGCTTCCTCATCCTGTGTGTGTGTGAAGCCTCCCTTACATTTCACATGGATCTTTTAGATAACTCCCATGTATCCCCTAGATGGTTAACCTCCAGGGCATGGTCTGGTGTTCTTTATCACTATTTGACCTTACAGTGGTGGGTCAAGGAGATTGTTGTCCAGGGCTGGGTATCTTCCTTGATTTTCTTGTTATGAATATCTCACGTGCAAGTATTTACTATAGGTATTCTTTGTACAAACAGAGCTATCTCCTAATTTGTTCCCAGAAATAATATACATTTTTTTACCAGGTTGCATGGAGGAAAAAACTGACCTCTGTGATCTCTGAGAAGAAATTGGACTGTTGGTGGGGACAGCCATTGAGTGGGATGAGGGAAATGTCTGTGAAAAGGCTTCTGCCTTCTGTTAGAGGAAGTGGCCGTATCTGAGCATGCAGGCTTGCAAGGGAGCAGTGTTCTGAGGGGGTTGCATGGTGAGCTCCTCAGGCTAGGATTTGCTTGTAAAGAAAGGTGGAAGAAGATGGGAAAGCAACTGCTGCCCTGACGAAGAGGATGGTGGATGGCCAAAGCTGATGCCAGAGACTAGGTTGCAGTGTGTGTTGAGTTTGCCTAGATCTGCTCACAAGTCTCTGGCTGTATACTTGGTTCACCCTCATTTTGAATTTTTGCCGCTGTAATTCTGCCAGGAGATGTGGACAGTTTGTGGCAACCTCAGAGCGATGGTTAGGCTGGCTGACCTGTGCCATCGTGCGCTGGCCCCGGTCTCTGGGGCTGCTGGTTGAGGCTGTGCGGGGAAGCTTGCACAGCTGCTGCTGTCCCACCCACGCCGTGCCGGCGCTTTGCTTCTCACCCTGCCAGTTCGGCAGCTTGTGCCAGCGTTTAGTTCCCTGAGATATTGTTCCAAGAGTGACTCTCAGGAAGGAAAACATCTGACAGAGTTTAAAATAAACTCAGCAATGCTGGTATATTTTGATGAGTATTTCCTAATTATCTTCTTGTGTCTAAGTGGAGTCTGGCTTATAAATGCTTCAAGTTAAAGAGAGATGCTTGTTATCTGTGCCTTCCACCTGTCTCCCACTCTGTAGAAGATGCTAGTTCTTTTTAACCCGTGTTATGCAAGCTCAGGACGTTTCCCAAAGTCCTTGATATATGGCCAGATCTGTGGCCATCAGGTGAGGATAGCTTGCTTTGGCTTCTTTCTTCTAGAAGGTTATGAGATAAACAAGGCAGAGCATCGAGCCGGGAAATTGATCTGTTAATTTTGGATCGTCTTCTGAAAGATCTACAAATAAAGCACAGACTTGACATCTGTGAAATTGTTACTCAGCCTGTGCCTAGGAGGATCAGCTGCTCTTCATCATCTGGAGCAAGATGTGGCAGTTGTAGCACATAAATGTCCAGGCTGCAGCAGTTTATGCCTGTGCTCGTGGGGCAGAGGGAGAGAGAGGATGGATGGACTTGATTTATAGCAAAGTCAGTATTTGCCTTCCCCGTGAGCAAGATGACAGTAAGCAAGTTTAGCTTATGTGTTTAAGGAGTGAAGCCTTTTAAAGGTAAAGCTGCAGCCCACAGTTTTGAAGGTAAGGGACTGCTCTGTGCACAGCCTGCTTTATCTGGCATCTTAATCCTCCCTGTGCAGATTCTGGTATTTTGAAATGACCCCAAGCCAAAAGAAAAATGCAGCGAGCCTTTTCCATCCATGTGTGATGCATAAAACCCTGCTCTGGACCATGACATCTCATTAAACCAAGGGCAGGGTTATTTTTGTGGAGCTAGAGCAATAATTCCAGTTTCCACAGAACTACAAAACAAGCAGAAGTTAGGGGTCTGTTGGGCTATTCTGTGGGCAGCTCTCTGCACAGGGCAAGAGTTGATCCAGTTGTGGTATTTGTGCTTCTCCAATGGTCAGGGCTGGGATGCACTGATGTGAGGAATTCCCTTAAACCACTAAATGCTAAAATCTGGGAAGGGTCACAGTGCTATAGCAAAATTTCCATTTCTGTGGCCGTTAGGCCAGCATTGCTTGTGCAGCCACTGATTGTGAAAAATGGCCTGTGGATCTGCTTGGTTGTTTTACTAGGATATTTCTCTGTTCAGTTCTGGTCAATGTATTGATGGACTGCTTTGGAGAGAAGGTGGTTGGTTGTTTTTTTTGTCCTCTACTTAAGAGGCCTGTGAGTAACCTTGTTCCAACACTTGTGGGTCTGGTGCCTCCAGCCAGCTGCCATCCAGAAGCTGTGTTAGTGTGTAGCTCTTAGCAGGGCAGAAAAGCTTAGGCAAGTGTTCCACTAATGTGGTTATCCAGAGATGCTTATGTCCCTGCACCTGCTTGCACAGACATGTGGTGTGTATTGCATGCTAGGTGCTTATTCAGCATCTTGATGGTGATGGGTGGCAATAGAGCTCTGCCTGCTGAGAGGGAGCATGGTGTTACAAAGAAGAATGGAGAAAGAGGTGTTTTGCCCACTTTGCAACCTGCCAAGTGTTTCAATACAGGAGTTTTGGGGATGCTGGTGTGCTTTGTGAGTTGTTGCATGCAATGCTGGGCACCTCGAGGGAATGGTTCTGTGAATCCTTTTGGACTTAACATCTGCTTAACATCTACAGTGTGTGCTGCTCTGGATTCTTCCAGACCAGTGTTCCTGACTGACTGTGGCTTTACTTCACACTACTATAATCCTGTGGGGGTCACTGTGGTTGCTGCTTCTTTACAGTGGTAGAAAGGCAGAATTGGGTCCATGGAGTGAAAGTGAATGTTAGCAAACTAAATGGGATTTACTGGGTGATTTAAGCCTTTGTTGTACAAGTGACTGCCCTGCAGCCCAGGTGCAGCACATTAACTTTCTCCCTCTTATGACTGTTTTTCAGGAATCAGCTGTTGCACTGGCAGGCGGTAGGGAACACTCAATGCAAGGGAACCTGGAAGAGAATTCGCCAGCTGGACACTTGCTCTTGTCCTTCTGTTCACAGCTTCTTGTTCATCTAACTTCTCCTGGCAGTCTCAGCAAGCAAGTGCTGTGATGGCTTCTCTGGCGCTAACGTGCAGCAGCAGTAGGAACCACAACCAAAGCAATGACTTCTCCATGTCAGTAAGAGGCTATGCTGCTTACTTTCAAGAGGTTGCTGACTGTACCGGGACATCCTGAATCCTCTCTGTCCATGTGTACTCCTCGATTTCTGAAGAAATCAGGCTGGCTGTGAAGTGCTAATCTCTTGCTGCCCATCTGTCCCCGAGAGAGGCCTGTCTGACCTGATGACTTCTTGCAAATTCCCTCTTTCTTGACAGGAACAAGAATTCACCAAATAAATTGGACAAAAAGGCCATATGAAGCCAAGTTTAATTATTATTTTTCTAAAGTCTCAATGAAGAATCAACAATGCAAAATAAACTAACTCAATGGCAATTCTTTCCATGGCAATGGCACTTCTTTGTGGATGCTTCCTGCTTGTGCTTATATATCTTTTCCTTTTGTTTTCACCCTCCCTGGTCTCATCATTTCATATTGATCCTCAGCCTTACAGAGGGTTGATCTTGCACTGCTGAGATAATGGCAAGACTTAGAAATGAGCCTGTTCAAATCTGTGAGAATAGAAGGTACCAGGGATAAATTGGGCCCTTGGACTTCAGGTTTCAAGGAGCAACTCCTAGTTGCCCCAAAATGCAGTGCAGTCCTGGGGCTCTAAATAGGAAGTCATCCCAGCTGTACCAGGAGGGCTAGTTATTGCCTTGTATTTTTGACTGGAAAATATTTGAAATATTTTCTTTATATTCTGCTGATTTATATTCATACTTTCCTATCAATGAAAATAAAGGAGACTGGAGACATTCTCCCAGTGTGTATCTATTTGATTAATCTGTGTAATGCCATCTCTTTAGCTCCTGAACCTGCTTAATTTGTTCCAGCCAATCTTGCCACTGACACCTCTGCTCCAGCAGGTAAGACTAGAGGAAAAGTTGCTGCTGTCCAGTTCCAGAACTGCTGAAGATTTACAGATGGAAGTTCAGCACCATGACCTACTACTATGCAGAAATGGATGTTATACTTCTTTTAATATACACATACTTCTGAATTTGCTTAAACAAAATTACAGAAAGGACTTACTCTTTGTGGCAGAGCACTGCAGTGGTGAGCATCTAGGTAATTAAATTTGTCAAAACCCAGGTGTGTGGCTGGAGGTGGCTCCAGAATTTTAATGCTCAGGTCCAACTCTAGTCTAGATTTGGATCATGAAACCCATCTAGTGACCATGTTGAGGGTCTTTCATGGAAACATTAAAGTGCACTGTGGATATGTGCTTGAGATGCTTAGAGGCATGTATAGTACAGCGATGAGAGGTCTAAAAGTACCTGATGCCTCCTGGCCAGTACAGTAGGGATTTGAAAGTAAGGCTCTGCTTTTCCTTGTATGTTACAAGCTGTCTGTGGATTAATGACTCACAGTGGGGTGATCTCATCCCAGAGTAGCAAGATTTTAAGGGGAAGGGGAAAAAAAAAAAAAAGGCTTGTGCTTCACTGTCTGACATAATCTGTAACTAACTTGTGGCCTGCTCAGTAGTACTCACTAGTTTGTGAGCAGAGGGATGCGATCCCTCTGAGAGATGGTTTGGGAATAAATAACTAGAGTACATAATTTTGTTTTTTGCAGCGAGGAACTTCTATCAAGCTCTAAGCCAGTTTCATTTTCTTGGTGGAGGTAATCATAGTAGCATTTAGTCATTGGAAGGTTTTCTTCATCCTGCAGAAGCCCGATATTGGGCCACAGGACCATAAAGAGGCAGCCGGTCATTTCGGGAGCACAATGGAGCCAGCTATTGGAAACATTCTTCATTTTAAAAATCTACCCAAACTTTTGACAACATGAAACCCTGCTCTTATCAGATGCTTTCAGAATTGAGTACTGAAGCTATAAAGGATGCAATTTTTGCTTAATAATGCTTAAAAAACTTAGTCTTCCACAAGTTGCGTTCACACCAGTGCCCCACTCCTACAATGTCAGTCAGTCAGGTAGGAAAAGGCTGTATTACAAAGTTATAAATGATAGTGTCAAGTGGGAAAAGCCTTTATTGCCATCACTGAAACCATGTGGCACCTTAAAGCACCTTAATTGCAATCTCTTTAGTTTACTGAGTACTTAAGTGTTAGCTGTATTGTATTTACTTGTAAGACTTCTATTAAATTGTCATAGTACTTGCTGTCAAATATTTAGTCCTGACATTAATCCATTTGGTTTTGAACCTTTCAGGGTAGAAGACTACCCTCCTGCTTCAGTGTCTTGGGAATAAGTGAGCCCTAAGAGAGGTTCTTTTGATAATACTTCATCCTATTCTGGCAGAAATGGTAGGAAACTAGCCAGTTTTGATATGAATTTGATGTGTAGGAAGTTTGCAGAATCAGTCTCTTCGGTGAGTGAAGGTAGCTGTTGAGAGTTGAGAAGTTCAAGAATAGGCTGCTCAGAAATAGTATTCTGGGTCAGATCACTACAGAATCTGGGCTTGATTATATTTTTTGGAGGCTCACAGTAAGTTTGTAAAATGCATTTTAGGTTGACTGAAACTGCTTGTGAGTTTATGCCACATTTGATGATTAGTCCTCATAGATGAAGACAGAGGAAAGAGGGAGATTTAGAAGTGGTGAAATGTTTTTATACCTCCTAAGTGAAGTGTTTTGATTTCTGAGTTTGGAATTTTATTTCAAGATTGTTTCAATCTGAGTCAAAATATTTCATTCAACCCCCTCATTGTTTTCAAGTTTCTGTTTCGAGGAAAATATTGGAGGAAAAAACCCTCATTTTGAATTGACCAAAATTATTTATTTATCAGTAGTGTTCTCTTTTGGGTCCTGCTTGTGAGACAGCCGTGATACTAAATTAGTAAGAACAAAATAGTCTTTCCCTATGGCCAACGACTTGTTGGTCGGGGTTTTCTTTGCTGTTGCCTCATCCCTGAGAGCTGATGACATGATGTCCTTACAAGAGCTGCTGATGGTGGCGTGGTAGGACTTGCAGTCTTTTGCTTCTGTCACCGTAGCTTGGGGATGCCGGAGCGTGAAAGAATTAGCCCCTGAGGGGCCCTCATAGTAGCTGTATTTCTACGCGGGCTATGTCACTTGATGAAACAAAACTGCAAATGTCTCAGTGCATCAGCACATCATAAAAAGGGCTGGGCAGTGTGCTGGCTTCACCTTCACACCTTGGGTGACTGTACAAACCAATCCTGTTGGTAAATTCCTGGGGGAAGGAAGGAGAGTTGCAAGTGTGTGTGTGTGAGAGAAAGCGCTAGCATGAGCAAGAGTGAGCCTTTTAAGTAGAAGATGATAATGAAGCTGTCAGATCACTTTCCCTGGAAGATTAGCTCATAGTGTAGACACATACTGAGTCCTGCCTGTTTCTCTCCAGGGGCTTTAGCACCATCCATCATCATAATCTCCATAGTTTCTACTGCCTGAGTTTTGGGAAAGATAAGACTATTGGAAATCCAAGGCAAAATATTCCTGAAAAATGGCTTTGTACAGTAAACAAGCAAGGCAGCCTCACATTGAGGAGAGGCTGTTCACTGAAGATGACAGCCGTTCCTATGACAACGCTAAAAACCTTTCACCATTGGGTATCAACAGGAGAACATCTCCCACGGCAAGTACATGAAGCCAGGAGCTTAGTCCTCATCGTCCATAAATCATTCTGTTGGGCACCGATAATGAGGAGCTGCCAGTTGTGCACAGGCAGCTCCACCTTCTAGGCACCACCCTGGCTCCGGATGAAAGGAAGAGCAAATAAAACCAAAGCAACAGTGAGTTGGATTTATGTAAAAGGAAAATTAAGCTCAACTGATGTTCCTACACTTCCCTCTGCTCTCCAGCTGAGGATCTCAATATTTAAGGATAAAAAGCCAAGCAAAAAATCCAGGCCATTTTACAAACTGCTGAAGAAGCCATGTGATTTCCTCTGTTGTAGAGAAATCTTTCATCGTCATGGGATGGAGAGAGAAGGAGGCCATGGGAGAATTCTGCTTTTCTTCACCCTAACCCTGTAGTGTCCAGCCTGTGATTCAACAGTTTTCTTCTGCATTTGAAACAGAAGGTGGTAAAAGACCATTTTTTAACCATGGGATCTTCATTAGGCCTATCAGGTCCCTGATGGTCATGAAATGCGGGATTGCAGTCATCTGAATGTATGAGGATCTGCTTCCTTTCTTAAGGAGAAAGCCCTTGTGCATTTGGAAAAAAAAGATAAAATATGCCTAGAAAGCTCAGGAGCCAAAGGTAAAGAAAAAGAACAACAAAGAAGTGTAATTTTCTTAAATAGCCATGTTGCTCTAAGGACAAACTATTTTTTTCTTTTGCTCAGTGGCCAGGGGAGTTGAGCATATTCTGCTTGAATGGTAGGAGTTAGCAATAATTCTCCATAAATGAGACTATTCTGTTATCTTTAGCTTTTCAAACCTAATTTTTTTTTATCCTTCATTTTGAGTATTTTGAATCTTTAAATATTAAAATCACTGACTGGTTTTGGGGTTTGGTTTTTTTTTTTTTGTGAGGAAGTTTTTTTTAAGTCCTTTCCAGTTATAACATTAGTTGCTTGGTGATAGTCGTGATACTGCAAGTGGAGGAGTAGAGGTGAGAAAGGAGAGGAAATTCTGAACCAGCAGAGATTATTCTGTTCTGTAAATATATCTCCTGCAGCTTGAAACTACAAACCCAAATATTAGCAAGATTTTATTTTTTTCTTTTTTAAACACTCTGGTTCTCCCGTTCTCAAGCTGGGTGAAATATATTCCCATATAAAGACTGTTCTGTGTATTCTGCAAATCACCACCTTTTTAAATCCACAGGGATATGCAGGGTCGCCAGGCTGCGGGTCTGTTGTACCCCCAGTCGCTCTTGTCCTGTAACGTGTGTGCACAACTCGCTGTGACACTAGTGGGACCTAGACACGCATTCAGGACGGGATGTGCTTGGCTGCATCTTGTAAACATCTTAAATTGATACTGAAAAGGGAGAAAGGTGGAACCATGGTGCAATTTGTCCATGTCTGCTGATAAATATCACAATATTACCCTTTTTGCATGAGTTCAGGCGCAGCGTGTGACCCCTAAAGCTGTGAGTTCCACGCCCTGGTCCATGCTGGATAGGAAGTGCAAGGTTTCAGCACCGTTCCCTAATCCTCAGGGCTGAAGAGCTGATCCTGTGCTGAGACCTGTGCAAAGGTCAGCATCGCTCTGTTTCTGTGCATTGTTTTTTTGCTGTTACTTGCTGTGCCCGGTGCTTGTTTTACTTGAGCTCTGTTGTGGCCTTTCCATACTACTAATTGTGTGCTTCTGAATTACTGGAAGGGTGTTGTAGGGTGATGCCAGCGCTAACGGGCTTTCACCTTCCTCTGCTTTCATAACAATCCTCAGACCAATTAACCAATTCTCGATTTATTCCTTGCACCATATTTCAGC